AGCAAAGCATTTTTCTGCATGGGATGAAGCTGCCACTGTCTTCCATGCACGCATCTGATCACTCCCTTCCTTATAATTCATATAGTATCTCTTGCCATCCTGAGAGATAGCTAGAGATGGAATTATACCCCAAGCTAGCTTACCCCAAGCTTCCAGTTTGAACCTGGGGCAAGCAATCCCTGTGGAAAACTCTTCTAATAGAGGCTAATTTGAAGGTCACCATTATAAACCCACTTCACTTCTAAAACACTCCTGGCTCTACACAAATCCCTTCTAAGGACAGGACATCCAGAGAATGACTCTAAGTTACATCGTGGAATTACCATCTGCCAGAATTTGAAAGACTTTTGAGTGTCGCTGTTCATCTTTCCAAGCAGAAAATTTGTCCCTCATCTTCATCTTCTGTATAATATTAATTCATCCATCTTAATTTCTCAGTCATTCCATATTCTCTCATGAATTTGGAAAGAATTACAGGAGAAAAACCCCACAAATAACCCCCCCCCCAAAAAAAAAAAAAAACAAAAACCAAAAACCAAACCACCACACAAACAAAAAACTCCCACACTAAAACAAACCCACAAACCCAGAGTTTAATCACAGCAAAGCTTCCTAGAAATTACGCTAATGCAGCAAAAAAGCATGTCTGCTGGAAGCAAACAAGGCAAATAGCCCAGTTTCATGGATTTATAGGAAAACAAGAAGAGCAAAAGAACAGAGACAAATCCTTGAAACCTCCTGTCTCTAGATCATTATGTATAAGGATTAAGCACAGAGATTGACTGCTACTTGAGGTGTATTATTATAGCCACATAAAACTTCGAATAGTTCCATCAAAGACAAGGTTCCTCTGAAGTTAGGCAAACAAGTATTTAACAGCAAAAGCTCCAAGTTGCCGCTATATAAATAACATGCCAATGGCTACGCGCTGTTAAGAGCACACTCAAGAGTTTGCTGGTGCTTTTCTTTCAGAAGACTGAAATGGAAATGGAACTCCTTGTACTTTTTTTAAGAGTATTTCCCTCAGTTGCTCAGGTGATGACGAAGAGCAACCAACTCAGTTACACAGGGTAACCAAAGAATGATAAAGATAACCCAGATGAAGCCAGACCAAAGGTAATATAAATTGTAAGATTATTCAATGCATTTGCATTGGAAAATTTGTAGACAGACTTTTTGCAGGCCAGCTGTGAATAAGAGTGGGTAAGACATGATCCTCTGGATGAAGGAGGAGTTTGGTAAACCTCAGCTACTCACTCAACAACAATCAGGCAATGATTGTGTACCAGCCAGGCAATGCATCAGAAGTCTTCAAGCCCATAACAATATCATACCTGATCTAGAAACAATGGATTTGGTTTCTTTCACTAATCTCCAATAGCCTCAGGTGTGCTGAGCATAAGACCGGCATTCTTATAGGGTGAAAATACAGTAAGTGGTACCATTCACTAACAGTAGAGTTGCCTGTTCTCCATCTCATGACATCCATCAGGTCTTCTGTGGCCCTGCTGTTTGCCCACTGTTGACTCTTATCAAGTTCCAACACCCCAAGAGTACCACGGTTCTCCAAGACTGCAGGTCATGTAACTGCACTAGGGCCCACATGACTGAACAGGTAGCCCTTCCATTTAATTCTTCAGAGCCATCTCTCTAATCTCCTGTCTAAACTAGTATGCTTTGGTATTTACTTAGCTTGTTGCATTTTGTCAGCTAGTTAGAGAATTTGGAGGCTAGAGATTTTGTCCTTTTTGTGTTTTTGTTTGTTTGTTTGTTGGTTTGTTTTTCAATTAAAAAAAATAGAAAAGTGAAGAAGTGAAGGATTTCACTTTTTAGTTAAGTATTTTCTATCTAACTGTACCAAGAACAAATACACAAACCTTCTCTACAATCTTCAAGAGGTTTTGGGATTTTCTAGCAGTACTGTTTCCCTTTCTGTGCCAATTAAAATGGCTCTGTTTTCTAACCGATAAAGGTGCCGTTAAAACGTGTCCACAAGAAGCATTGTGTGCTGTTACAATTGTTCGATAGACACCCAGTCCCAGACAGAAGCTGCTTTATCCTCACCCTCTCTTCAACCCAGAATAAAGCATTGTCCTGACAGGGATTAATGGAAGTGCCATTCACATTAGACGCTAATGCTGATAGCAGCTCTGTTATTACACTACAGATGCAACTAAAGCTTGAAGCAGGCAGTCCACACTGGAGGAGAAGTAGGACATTCAGAAACCAAAGTGAAGTGAAGCACAGTGCAAGAATCTATGCAGAATACAACCTCATAGTTGATGGGAAAGAGACATTTGAAAAGGAAGACAGAAAGAAGAAAAACAAACAACAGAGAAATAGTATGGGAAAAAAAAAAGAGGATTGAAGATTAAAGCAGACAAAACAATGATCAGAAACTAAATGGGAAGTTAAAACAAAAGATCCAACACAGCAGAGAAAGTGCCTTTTCACAGCAATGGCCAACACGTCACGTCATCAGAAAATCAGCACTAGAAAGGTGCCCCATAACAGGTAAGAGCAGCTGAAACACAGGACATAGAGTGATACCAGGGAGGGTAAATTAATCTACAATTGGATCTTGCCCTGTTGTGCACCCTAAAGCATTATCGCCTTATAAAATTACATATGAGTGTTTAACATCTTAGAACAGCACACAGTTGAGTACTGATTAATAACAAAAATAAGAGTCTCAAACCTGACTCCTGGATACTTACTCCAAGAAAAATATACCAGGAGAGGTCTGCATATAAATGCTACAAAAGAGGCAATTCAGAGATAAGTTTTCAGGTCTCTCCTGGCCCATCTCTGATTTTGTTCAGACAAGAGATTTCAGATTCAAGGCTAATTTGAGATGCTTCCACACATGCATAAAGTGGACCAAGAAGCACCTAGGCTCAAAAGAGCTCATGCTGCAGCACTTTTTTCACATTTTCCTTGTAGCACTGTGCTTGTTTACCACAGTTTGAATGTGGCATAGCAGAAGAGAGGAAATCCAAGTATTGGACCTCTCTGTCAGAAAAGTCACTGAGGTATGGACGACAAATCTACTTAGACACTCCACAGGCATGAAACAAAAAAAACTAATAACTCACTACCACATCACTAATTGTTCAAGGAAACATAAGCCTTTCATCTGCATTTCAGAGGAGGTTTCTTATGGGAGAAAGGGAAAACAGGGAAGGAAAAGGCTCTTCAGAAATGTTTATCAAACCTGAAAAGCCAAACCCTGGCAGCAGATGGTAGATGGCAAACAGGAAGATTTTGCTAAAAACTAGAACAGTATAAAAATACTGGCAAGAAGGAAATCATTATGACAGCAGGAAACACTAAAATTTAAAGATATGCAAGAAAATGCATTTACAATGTCTGTTGCTCTATTAATAGATAAAAATGGAACAATAGTATAAATGCAAGGGAAATGAAAAAGCAAGAGCAATCTGTCACTAACAAGCTTATGCAGTGACAAGCAGCTTGAGGCCAGGTCTTGAAACAGTGCATTAGACCGTAATGTTTTCAGATTTCTTCTGAGGATCAAGTAAATGGCGTATACAATTAACTTCTTGCAGGTCTCCAGTACTTTATATTAAGAAACTGTGTTCATGGTGAAAAAGCAGATGAACTATTAAGCAAGAAAATTACCTCTGGTTCACAGCATCAATGAGCTGTAAATCACCAGGTATACCAGGAAATTAAAACTACTGCCATTTTTTTTCTCTTATTTGTCATGGGATCCACTCTTATCAGACACTAGGAATGGACTAAATGGGCTAGATATCTCTTTGGTATGACATGTTTGTCCATTTTTACAGTTTTCTTATAACTTCCTTTACTAAGAAATGACACATCAAGGAGACGGAAGAGAATTTATTAATGACAGTATATTTGACAGCCACTATACTGGACTAAAAAGATCTTGGCTGGAGCCAAGGATGATGTGGGTTGATACCGAACTAGTCACTCTGCACTCCAAGTGAACGCACTTCAGTGACACACTTCCAGGCTCAGATCTCCTTATATCTCCATTTGCTATAGTCCTTATTATTCCCCATCTGGAACTTTCTTGAATACTACTTACTGTATTGTCTAAAAATTTTTCTGATTGTGTAACTGCATACAAATTGAATGCCAGAAGAAAACAGATGTTTATTTCTCCTGTGGTCCAAAATAATATTCCTGATTCAGACCTACATGATGATCTTTCTCCTTCCAGTCTCTTTAGTCTCTTTTTTTTTCCCCTCTCATTCCTTGTGCAACTCTGCCGATGCAATTACCACCTCATTTGCAGTATGCCTCTGGTTTTCAATACCAAAGCAACCATACTTTCATGTACTCTAGAGGAGTATTTATACCACCTAGGTCTAAGCACCTAACTTGGTCAAGTTATTAATCAGCCAGTCACTGAAAACTCCATCTTTCATCCATAGAAAAAGATCAGATCTTCAGTCTTCTTCAGAACAAGCATAGTGTCATAACCTGCAACTCTTGCTACCCAAACCATGAGATTTCTACATGTAGAAGCTCCTAGCTGTGCTAAATTCTACACTGTGCCACCAAACTGACTTTAGTGGTCACTCAAGACATTGTAGGTTCAAGCCTTTAAAACATAATACACTCTCCTCTTCTACAAGGTGCTGTCCTGTAAGAGTCATGAGAGATCAGCTCACCTTCACAAAAAACAAATATTGTTCTTCAAGCCAACACATAATTTTCCAGAGGTGAAGCCCTACATGGTTGTGTGAATAAATTGCAAACACTTGCAATGGTTCCATTTCATTGAGCAAGATTTATTTTACAAATAATTCAACACAGGCTTAACTTCTGCCAGCCTCAACTAAATGAGCAAGCACTCGGTGTCTAGGGGTCAGCAATGTTTGAGCAACGTCAAAGTTTATTTTTTATAAAGTAATTTTTCTCCACCACAGCTTGTGTTAAAAAACAGCCTACTAGCTTTAGTCTCATTTTTAATATGCTCTTAGTATCTAGAAAACAGATCTTACCTTGATCTTCTGAAGAGACCGGTGACCTGGAATAAAACAACAAAGTCCAGTCAATCTTTTGGTTTGAAAAGGCTACAATTAAGTTCAAGAGTCATTGTGGGGAATGTGATACGGAGGAATTTGAAGGTTTTATTTTTAGCCTTTATTCTTTATTCCTTAGAAGAGAGGGCTGTAAGGCATTTGATGAGAAAAGGGCAGAAAAGGGCAGAGACCTACTCTAGCAGCATGCTCTGCAGACCAGCATGGTCGTATAGAGTCATGTCCATAAGGCAGCTGTCAGCTGCACTATTAAGTATTCATGTCAACAGTGTCTGTAGGTACCTGGCAAAAAACTTATCTACTACTGTTGCTGTTGGAAATAGCTGATGTTACTGGTAATAAAGTCCTGATACCTCTGATAGTGTTGAAGGGACAATAATTAATTGTGCGTCAGAAAAAAACCTCACAACTAGGATGGCTGAGGAAATTATAGCTTCACGGGAATTCACAGTCGTTAAGGTGGCCACTTTTCTTACCACAAGTCAATGTAGTGGCTAGCATAAAACACTGGTCATAATCCATAAGAGTTCATGCCATCTTCACACAAGCAACAAAAGCAGACACACAAAAAAAAAAACAAAACAAAACAACCAAACCAAAACCAAACAAAAAAACAACCAAACAAACAAGTTTTGACAGATGTAATTACAGCAAAAAGCAGTACAACAGCAGCAACGTAGGAGTTACAGGATTCCCTAAGCAGTGGTTTAAGCTTTTGATAATACTCCAAGAGAATGGGGGGTTATAAAACATAAGGGACCTCTCAGTGCATGCAGTGATGAGCAGAAGGACCCCACTGAATTCCAGGGATTTGTGTCACAGCTCCCGTTACTAAGGATCATACTCGTCATCATTTTGGTCAGCACCCACAATAAACTAATATAAAGAGCTGTAAAATATTAGCCCTCCATTTTCCCCTTTGCTGCAGTAGCTTATCTTAGCAGAACTGAGGCTAATTGTACAGCTAAGTTTGTGCCTTGGTTGTTTAGACTAGATTGACAGCACACAGTGGATTGGATCTTTGCCTCAGCATTTCCCCAGCAAAAATTCTCAACGGCATATATAGCCTTCCCACCCAGGTAACAATGAATTTGCTCCTGTGGTGAATGGGACAATCCATGTTTCCTTTCAAAGTTATATTTAATTTTGCACCAATGTAAAAAAATAACAAATTACCAAAGATTTAAATGTTAGTGTTGCCAGCAAAGAGAACAAAGCTGACATAAGAAAAGCAGCCACAGAGGGGTGAAGGAAAAGAAGAAACAAAGGGTAAAAGAACACATGTATATTTAACTGAGTCAGCAGGAGATGAGGGTTGGACCAGGGAAAAGGAAGGTTAGAAACCCTGTATTTAAAGGAATAAAGGAGCTAAGGAAGGAGTCATGATCTCATTCCATAACAGAGGTCTGAAAATGAAGGCCGAGGGATTATAGGAGTTCAGAAGCAGATATTCAAATATGTAGGTGCAAACAGGAAAGATGGAAAGAAAAGAAGGAAACTTTCCTAATGAGGTATGCAAATTTTTAGGTTTAAAAAGAGAGAGAGATTTGAAAAGAAAGAGAGGAAAGAGTTACAGCACAGCTGGAGCAATGGTCACTGTGAAAGGAAAAAATGTGATTGCCTAATTAAGATTCTGACTGTGCAAGAAGCCAATGTGTCTGTATGGATCAGAATTAATTAATCCTCTACTCCCATTAAATCCTCTGATTGCTGCTGAACATCCTAGGCATGTATCCGTCTCTGCTGCCAACCAGGCCAGCTCTGCCCTTGTACTTCAGCCATGACTGTGGAAATGCAGTAGGAATACAGGTAACCCAGAGGATTAGTAGGCATCATTAGGACTCTGTCCCACTGCTTTGATCAGTTAGTTACAGGCCTTCCTCCACAACCCCCAAGCAGAAGCCCTCCTGAAGGTAAAAACACACAGTGTTTCCTACAAGGTTAAAGAGTGAAGAATGGCCCATATCAAAAGGAGCAAATTTTTAGGTACTTAAAAATATTTTTACATGCAGGAGTCATGCCAGGTTCCTTAGCTCATGTAGCCTGACTCTCCGCCCATTGGCAATACAGTATCCCATAGCATCAGTAGAATTATTATTCCTTTGTTTTGTTTCTTAATTGCACAGTTTCATCACCTTTCCAATCTTTATTTGAAACAATAAAATAAACGATAAAGATTATCCTACAATTTGGCTCTTCTTTATGCTGGTAAAACAGATGTCATTAGTTCCTTAAAGCATCAACAACAGGCGAGATACTATTACTGCCTTCTCAATCAAAACATTGAAGGGAGGGATGAAAATTATGGTAATGCATATTAAGTACCCCAAATTACTACTTATGTTTCAAAATACTACTGTCATGTACCTTTGTTTTATGTCTTTAACATAGTGGTTAAAAAATAAAAAAATCTAACAGATACAACTGTTGCTAGTGACAGTGTTATCATTTGAAAGGCTTCATCAAGCATCTTTTGGAACTTTGGAGCCTGGTACCCTGAGAAAAAAAAGTTTATATAATCACAGCATCTTGATATGTACATATGCACCTTTCTGTCTCACCCTAGCAAAGTCTGAGCTTGCTGACTCATGTCACCTACTGTTAACAGAGGGACTGGAGAGCCAATTCCCGCTTTCCCAAGGAAACACAACAGCATAAGCTCGAACTTTCTGTCATAGCTGTGAAGCCACAAAGAAAAGTTTTGAATATCTCAGCCACAAGAAAGTCTCAATGAGAACTTCCACCATTGGAGATACCAAAGTTTCAACCCCAATAAACTAGGTTTCCTTTGTTCCACTGTTGACATAAAATACTCTGGCAAAAGGAAAAGAGGACTTTCAACATACTCCTACAATTTCATGCCATACATTTTAGCAGGGGGGAGGTTTTCCAAACCTTTCAAGTACTGGCCTAACTACACCAAGGGGAGTCTTGCTTGCAACTATGATGTCAGGAAGTAAGGCTGCTGAAAAGTCCACACTAATAGTGTTGGGCATTTTATGCATTGTCTGTTTTACCCCAAGCTCATGACAGGCTCTAAGGGAGGAAAGAAAGCAAGCCTAATGACCTGCTCTAAACCACATACACTCATTCCACAGGCACAGGGGGCTTTCTTGACAGGAAAAACAAATCAAGTGAATGCTCGTATTTCCGGTCACACATCTTTCTCTCAGGTCTGTAAGAAGTGTGAGGGATATGCTGTGTCAGCACTGCTCATGAGACAGGTGTGCTGAGAAGGGAGGCTTCTCAGCTGCTAACATCCATACTGTAACCATCTATCTAGCGCCTGTCAGCTGCCATCCTAGTATGATTCTAGCTGTGTGTTTGACTGTCAGTAAAGAAGCAAGTCATCTTACAATGTCCATGCCTTAAAAAAAGTAGAGACAAATCAGAAATATTTCAGAAGAATTAATATACTGTCAAGATCTGTGATCCCACCTGGGCCAAAACACTTGGCCAAATGAAATCTTGAAGAGATTCTCATTTGGTTAAACAAAACAAAACCCCCAAAACCTTCAGGAAAAGGTTCAGACACTGCAATATCCTGTTCTTAGCCATTTCAGAACAGAATAGCTTATTTTTTATATGAACTGTTAGCTTTTTCTGGTTTTATCTTGGTGTAAAATTAAGTTGCAGAAAGGCTCATCACCTCCTCGAGAGAGTAAAGACAGGCCAAATTATCTATGACTGGCTACATTTCCAGAATTATGAGACTAAATTAGCTCTTCTACCAACAGTACTCTTTTCCCATGCATAAATGTAAAAGGGAAGCCCAATTTCAAGTATTTTCACAAAAGATATTAATCTGACTTTTATACTGCCCTGGTTTGACAGATGCTTTATGAAGAGCTATTGTATGACTAGTTAAAGTGAAGACAAACATTACTATGATGACAGGGAAGGGGATCAGAAGGGACAAGGAAGGAAAGTATGTTATCACCTCCATTTACTTTCTGTGCTGTTCATACTCCTCCTTTCTCTATAGGTCCTGCAGCAGTGTTCTCCTGTTGCAGGGTAGCAAGCTCTGCTCAGAAGTAAAACATCACTTGCAAGCCTCAGACTGCAAGAGGGAGCTGTGCATTGCCTATTCCACCACTCCCTATGCAAGCAAAGCAGTACTTTTTATGCTTAACACAAAATGAAAAAGGATGTCCCAGGAAATGAGGTACACATATTTAGAAATGCATTAAAAATCCATAATAATAATGTAAAAAAACACAATAATAATGTAAAAAAAATCATATGTTCACTAGACATTTCCAGCAAATTGGAAGACTTATGATACTGAAGGCGTGAGACATGCCCACCTAGAACAGCACTGTGCCTCAGAGTTAATGGTCTGATCCAAAGCTCATTGGAATTTTTCCAGTCACTCTTACAGGCCTTGGATCAATTGATGGCAAAAATCTACTCCTCAGAATAGCAAGACAGCCTTCGATATCATACAAGCCTTCCCCAAACAGCAAAATACTCACAGCTGTTTCCAAGTGCACTCTCCAATGTGCAAGCAATAGATTTATTTAGCACTGGAAGGGTGGAAGAGGGAATATTCATTTCTAAGGAGGGAAAGGCAGGGACTGTCACAATTTCGAGCCTAGTCAGCCGAGGCTTAGGAACCTCAAGAAATACAACCAGCCTCCAGCAGATGAATTCTAAAAAAATTTCAGCAATTGGTTACATTACTTATGAAGACAAAAACCTCTGGAGAAACAAAGCTGGAGCTGATGTAAAGCAGCTATTTTAATCAATGAACCTGTAGCAGAAACCATCTGCACCAGGCCTATTTAAAACCAGACATTTACGATTTAAAGGCCAAATAACAATCTGCGTGCAGCAATTCTGCTGGGTTTTATGACCATTCCCTTTTTTCCCTGCTTAAGCAATGTATTTCTTCAAACTTTCTAATTCAGTCTGACAACAGCTGCCTGTGACAAGGGGAGGGGAAGAGCTTTCAGATTAAACCCATTCCTTCTCATTTTGCAGATAC